CAACATTACCCGCAACAAACCAGAAGTATCCTCCGGCCTTACGTTTAACAAAATGATGGTCCCAGTGGCAAAATCGGGAGGCATGAAACATTGTACTTCTTTTTTTCGGGCACATATATATCTGTGCGCTCGTGGATGCCACCCAGTAGGGTGACCAAATGTATGGCTACAAAATGGTTCTGTAAATTCTTCTTAAAAAATGGTTACTTCAAATGGACCTTAGGACATCCCAGTTCGTAAGGGACATTTCGAAGATGATGATCCTTGGAGAAAGGCTGGGACAAAGTGCACGAACAGCTCGAGTCACACCCCCGCCGCTTGTCAAAAAACAACTTGGCCGGGCTGATCGACAGTGGTGCAAACCAGTCAGATATTGTAGCAATTAGATGCTTGAATAAAAGGTGCGCCTTGCATTTTGTAAGCCCAAAACCGCTTTATAAATTTTTATAGTACAAAATGGGGTATCCTAGGTCCACCATGCAAACATTTCCATTGCGACCAAAGACCAAGTTCACAATGTCGCCCTTGTCACCTAACATCACCTAACACTCTGGTCTGGTCCAACATGCGCTTCCTCGTTTTTGGCATTATGGACAAGGTGCTACACTTTCCATGCTGTTCAGGGGCCCTTGGCTTATCTTCTAAAATTCAGTGCGTTTTCTTCGACAAAGGGGGCACTGTAACAAACGTGAATGGCCTTGGCCAAGGAAGCGTGACAACACACGCCACTGACCCACAGCACATTATCGACATACCGGGCACGTTCCACTTCATGACCCCATGAAGCACACAGTGCTGTAGCCGCAGCCGAGAGACCCGGCCACCCAGGGTGACGTAGCACATGAACACCCACGCAGTGAGCGACAGAAACTGTTCCGTGAAAGTGGGGACAAACCCACGCTTTCACGCGGCCCAGTAGCAGCCACCGATGGTACTGGGTTCCGGCTGTACGTCGACTCGGGTTGTTCTAAGTCGACTCGGATTAGTGTGCCCATGCAGTTTATGTATGTTGGACTATCGACTCAGCTTGTGTAAAGTCGACTCGAAACCGTGTGCCCTTGCAGAACTGCACTCCACAGGGATGTCTAAGCATAGAATGTATTATTGATCTTATAACACATGTTTTGTGTTGTGTCCATGGTGTGCCTGATTGTCACTTGTTTGTATTTATTAATTTGTTCTTTGGGGGAGGGCAGCTTCCACAGGGGTGTGAAGGAACAAGGATTTGTGACAGTTGTGATGCAAAGCTCCTTGGGCCCATGCTCCACTACTGCTGCTGCTGCTGCTTCTGGTTGGCTGCTGCTGCTCCTACTGAATTTGGTTGACCGTAGGAAGCTGTAGGATGACTGACTGTATGAGTCGCGCTCGCGCGAACCTCGCGCGGGGTCGCGCGGGGCTCGCGCGCAGAGGCCTATATTGTGTGTGTGCGCGCGCAGCCTATTCTCATTCTCTAAGTTGCGTATTGGTGTGACCGGTGCTGTGCCATTGAGATTTGGTCTTGAAACATCCAGAAAGCAAGGCCCCAGCCATAACACAGTGTGCACACGCTTTTCCGTGCTCATTTTTCAAGTGTGCCCATTGTGCTTTGACCAAAATGAGTTGACTTCACGCGACGTGGGCTGATTTAAGTACGCCGCTTGTAGGGGCTTTCTCAGGATATTAATTCAGAATCCGAAGGTGCTGTTCATAGTGTGCCCATAGGGTTTTGCATAGGGAAGATCACGCAAAGCAAGTTGAAAACATTGATTTTTGAGCACGTGCGTGCAGTGCGCGGACGATTTCCTAGTTTTCAACTTAATTGAAGTGATGTCCTTCAAGTAGTGTGCCCATGGTGTTTTGCAAAAACTGCGTTGACTTAAAACGCATGAGTTGACTTAGGGCGAATGTACGTCATACCATGCAGCTGCGTCGACTTAGCGCGAGGTGCGTTGACATACGGCGCTCGCTTGTAGGGAAGGGCTTGTTTGTCATGGCACACTTACGCAAGACTCGCCTCACAACATCAATGGACCCGCGTCAGCAGTGACAACCACGGTGTTAGACTTGGGACAACCACACCGACAACAGTAAGGGTCGCCATGAACAACGTCAGCAAGCCTCACGCGGAGTACCAAGGAAGGGGCAAGCCTCTTCGAGCGACCGCGCTTCATCACCACTACCCGTACGACGAAGGACCGTGTCCAGCCCATGGTGGATGACACGCCACCGCTTCCGAAAAGACCACGCAGCGAATAAAGCCACCTTCCGCAAAAGAGTGGCCAACTTTGTTGCAAGTTTGCTTGCCATTTTGACGGCACTTTGCCTTAATAGTGACATAGTTATATAATACGGGAAGAGAAACTTGCACATACGCAAGAACAGGAACCAGGCACCAACGTGAACATGACATCCCAGCACCGAGCGCGAACATCATCAAACAGAAACGGCCACCATTTCCCACGCAGTGGAAATCGTGGCAAAATGTAAAAACAAAACCTATACGTGTCAGTGGGCACCTTCTAAAACACATTCTTTTCTTTGTCGGTGGGGACCAGACCAGCACCAAGCCAGGCTCAACACTCATGTCATGAGTGTGCGCCATGTGGCTGGCCTCGCCAAAGGATGCCCGCACACTTTGGCTCTCACGACTACAAGGCAGCGTGCTAACAACTTTGCGACAAACCAAACTACAACAAACCAAATTTTTCACCAAGAGACCAACGCGGGCACGACAACAGCACACCTTATAGCACCACACGTACTGGGAACCATCGACGCGCGACGAGGCTTCACCAAAACCTCGCCCACGCCAGGAAGCAAACGGGCAGCTAATTCATGGCTCAAACACTTCGTAGCCATAGCCTTTCTTCCCTGGCCATGTAAACCGGCACCAAGTCGCAACAGAAGCAGGGCCACAACTGACCGACCATTTGTGCTCAAGGGCACGCCACATTATCTCAGCACCAGGCACAGCACACAAACGCACGTGAGTCAAGTGGGGCAATCTCACCGCAACAAGGAAACCTCCCACGTGCAAGCAAGGTGTACATGACTCATGACGCACACGAGGACACATGCGGCAAACCATGGGAAAAAAGGTTTTATCAAGGCGCGCACGCTTCGTAATTTCATTACATTTGTTTACGAGAACGCGGACCGGGGGCATGAATCGAGGCAGTGAAATATTCAAACCACCGTGCCGCAATGTCAGTGCCACTTCCGCATAGCACTAGCAATGCCAACATAGTAGCCACAAGGAGAACACCAACAATATAATGCATGGAATCAAAAATGTCAACGGCACCAAGGCTGGGACAAATAGCTTGCAACTGGAGGTGCAGCAGCCCTTCAAGCGCAGGCTTTGCAACAACAGGATCCCAAGAGTCACGCCGAGCATGTCTCCGAAACAAATGCCTATGTTCTGGGGCCAGCAGCGTCGCAACCTTAGCAGGCCATTTGTTGAAAGCCTGCCCAACAAGCCACGCAAGAGTACGACAACAAGCACAAGCAACCCACAAAGGTTAAGACAGCAACGCTGGACCTTCTCCATTTTGCACCCTTGGGAAAGCCAACGGGCACACATTTGGAAACAGGTCATCAACACATGCCACAGTAGTGCTGGGGGCCGATGGCAATGTAAAGCACCACCAGTACACGCGCTACACCCAGCAAGCGTTGGGCTTCCAGTGGTCCGCACGCCACTCAATCCCGGAAGGCCGCACATTTCAATGGTTTCATGGCATGCATGCGCCACGTCATGTGCCAGACGTCGGTCGTAGACACCACATTTTTCATCAAACTTCATTATCGGAGGAACCCGCCTCCCATGGGAAGTGGAACGGGGCATTCGGAAGCAGGCCGTCAACGAAATCATTTTCGCCCGGCCTGGTACAGGCCTCGAGTAACAGACAGGAGTATGCCAGGTTGGACACCACCAGCTCATGCCTTTTTTCGTGCCCGTTGTCCTGACATCGCTCAGCCCGCCAAAATGCAAACAAAAACGCCGCACCAATGTCCACACGAGGTGCCGTTTCAAAGCACGGCGGTCAACAAACATGACTGTATAGAACCAATTCGGCCAGCCCAAAATATTGTAAAGGCATCTAAAAGTGAGTTGTGGTGATTAGTTGTGGCAAACCGTTTCAGGTGGAGAGCTGGCATGCGTGATCAGTTGAAAGCGACGTGCTCTCAAACAATCGTCGGTTTGTAGTAGAACTGAAAAGGCTGTAAGGTCTCAATTTTTAGGGTTCGTAACATTTTTTCCCAGGAACCAACGTTAAGAGCATCAAAGCCCTACAAGCGTTGGCTGCCCCCCATAAAAACACTATCGCTACTGGGGGTTGGCTACCCAACATGTTTTGGATTCCTGACACTCACTGGGAGTTGCCACAGGGAACAATTTCAAGTTCAGAAACTAAAACCAAGGGTTCTCCATTTTTTCTGTTCGGGCCCACTGGTTGCTTAAGGTACGTGGGGTGTGTCAGTTTCTAGTTTGCGAAATCCATGGGTTAAGTAACCGAACATCACGTATCTAGTTTTCAAAAGATTTCGGAGCACCGTTTCCCAATCTCACACTTCTAGTTTATGTTTCCAGTATCCGAACCCCACGTTCCTAGTTTGTGAATCCAAATTTCCGAACTCCATGTTTCCAGGTTCCAAAACCCTGGTTAGAGTTTGAGAAAGCAAGTGTCCGAAACCCACGTTCCGAATTTTTGTTTGCGAACCCAACCTTTTAGTTCCCGAGCCGGACGTTGACGCTACATCCGGCGACCTGAACAATTCCACCATTTTTATCACTTCGCAGACGTTTGTCGACACATCCAAGGCATGGTGGACAAATGACCATCGGCCACTACCATGGGTAATGTGCCGGTTTCACCTGTTGGCGCGTTCCTGAACCCAACATGTCATTGTCACAAAACGCCAACGACTTGTAAATCAAAGGTACGCTGTGCAAACGAATTTCGCATTGCTTAGCATAAAGGGCACTGTTTAGTGGTGCCTGCTCGTGGCATTGGGCCATGTCGTGCCGATGCTGCCGCCGATGCATTCCTTCCACGCGGCTTGGCTTGTGAACCCCCACATGGTTGCAAGTCACCAGTTGGGGTATACAGAATGCCTGATTTTAGGTTTCGGGAGGTTTGGCAGCAAACCCGGGAGGGAAATGCCCAGTTTTTCAAACCAGTGAGTTGATGTGCGGTCTGGCACAGCATGTCTCACATCACAGTTTAGTTTAGTTGCCGCATAGCCGTTTCTTGTGGGATGAGGATTTGTGGGGCTGACGTTTCGGACTTGTTTGCCTACAGCACCTTGGCCACCATGCGCGCTAGATGGTCTTTTTTTTTAAATATGCCATGCCCAGTTGTGTTTCAGTTGGACTGGACCCCAGGTCTTAGTTGCAAGATGCGTTTGCGCCACCATATGAAAATGGATTCCATGACGTGTGAAACTCTTGGCAGGCCATCTAAAGTTTGTCACTCACAAGTTTGTCGTCTCAACGCCGCCATGGTGTATGTTGTCAGGCACCACCAAGTACATCAAAATCAGGGATGCGCGATTGGGAGTCTTGGCGGGACAATTCGTGAAAATCCACTAAATCAATGACCTGTTGGGCCAAGCTCGCGTTCAAGACTGCTATAGGCTGCTCAAAGGGTGCGGAATGCTGTGTTCATGTGCTGCGAACCTTTACTTGAAATGTATTTTCATAGATGTTTTGACTGAGAGGGTTTGTTGCATTGAATTGAACTGGTTAGCCTTTTGCGGCAGTGTCCGGGACTTGACCAGGTTTGCTGCACTATGGCTTGATGTTTCTGATCGTTGTGTACATTTTGGTGTACCAGCTGATTGGGAAGCTAGGTGGGGAGAGATGCATTTCCGACCAGAGAGCGAACCGAAAACTGATGCCTGGAACCGACTAAATGCATCAAACAACAACAAGAATCAAGAACAAGAACAAAAACAAGAACAACAACCAACAACACCAACCACCACCACCACCACCACCACCACCAACAACAACAACAACAACAACAACAACAACAAGGAAGCGACTATTCTGGCGCCCCGTGCCCATGCTCATTCTCTACTTAATTCAAGAGACCTTTACACACGACCCCTTGTTGATCCAGACCCCCCCCTCAGCCAACACAACTACCAACGGGTCGTCTGTAAAGGCCTCTTCTAGGAGGGGATGAACATACATCAACCGAACAAAACGTTAAGTCACATCATCCTCTCCCTTCAGGCAGCCAAGCTTGGATCATATTTTTCCACACATTCAAGCCGCAGTCTTCGGGATCAACACATATAGTGGTAGCCTTCAAGGCCCATTCCAGTCCAATTGAAAAGATGGAAATCCAATGGGTTCACATTCGCTTCACCCTGGTCTTTCGCCACCACAAGCCAATCTGGCGGGCACATATTTGTGTCATACCGGCTGTGCACAGTGAGGCGGACACCAGCTCTTGGAAGTTTCTTCACTGCATCATACTTTTTGCACAAATGGAGAATGGTTGGTTCAGCGTGCCTGTGATGTTGCAAGTAGCCATACGGGTCGTCACTTCCATTTGGTGTTTTGGGCATGGTCTTGTCATCCGATTGCACTGTCCAAAAGAGCTTGACGCAAAATGGGCCGAGAATTGTAGACCCTCTCCCGAATCATCCAGCTGACATAGGAAGGGCAGTTCTCACGAACCCACTGCAAAGAATTTTTTTTGTGTTCGCCAAAGTCCAGAACATACCCACAGGCATCTCTGCCAAAAATTGGCTTTTCTCGGCGTCTGTGAGGGGTCGCAAAGTAAGTTGCGGGTTACTAAATCGACGGCGAGGGCCGTCTTGCTTAATCTGTTGACATGTTTCACAGTACCGCGCTCTGGAGCTCAGCTTTTTCTTTGGTACCGCTTTGCCTACTGCAACTTTCTTCACTGGTTTTGAGGGCCGCGACACATGTGCAGAAGGCCTCTTCATTCGGCACAAGCATGGAAAAAGACACCCATACTGCGCTCTACATTGAGTCAGAAACTTGCAGGAGATGTGGCGACATCTTTAGTGCCTTTCATCCTGGTCCCAGACGACCCCCAGGTCACATCCCTACAACGGGTCGTTGGTGCTAGTCTCTTGAAAAGAGAGAAGGGGACAACCTTCCTTACCGTATCAGCCGTATCATGCGCTTTGCCGCTTACAATTTCAAGAGTCTAACACAAACGACCCCCGGTGGGCAGTGGTACCCCAGTACAATATGTTGCACTTCCCATGATCATGCTTTATGTTTCTTGAAATCGAACAGGTGGATAAGTCTGTTGAGTGTGATTCTGATACGAGTACCTTCCTTACCTTTTTACCACAAACAACCATCACCCAACGGGTCGTTCATGTAGCAGTAGCAGTAGCAGTAGTAGTAGTAGTAGGAGCAGCAGCAGCAGCTGCTGCTGCTAAACCTCTGTAGAAATTCTACGTAGAACCCCTACCCTAGAAGCAAAAACTGCAGCCCCATTGTTGTTTTCTGGACACCCCTCCAGAACAACACCTCAAAAACACTAAAAATAAAGCAGCCCAGACTTCAGTGAAACAAGTCCAATAAGTCCACCTACTTACGGAACCAACATTCGCCCAAACTTTCAACCGTATCCCTATATGTGCCCCTTTGAGGTTCCAAAGCTACAACAGTGACAATTATGTTGGGTGGCTGTTTTTGTTTCTACTAACAACAACGTCCGCGGCCTGAGAGAATCACCACATGTGCAGCCCTGGCCGTGGGCCGCAGGCTACTTGAAGTTCAACGACGCCCAGAACACCGTGCGTCTCACTCTCCAAGAGTTGCCCGGCTATATTGCAAGATGTTTTTTGTTTTGTGCCTTGTGGCATGTGATTCAATCATGTGATGTCAAATCTGTTCGCGCCAAATGCCCAAAAGACGGGTGGAGAATTCAATTGGCCTGGAAATATTGAATCCAAAGTGGGGTTGTGATTGTTCCAAGTGAAGAGTGACAGCACTGAAGCGGAAGAGGTGAGACATTTTGTTGATTTTTGTTCCGCCCACTTTCCGGTGAAATATGGTTTCCAAAGGCTGCTTCCCATGCATCGCGGCCAAGGCCGACGCAGGGTTGCAATCCCAACGACACTGGTTGCAAGGAGTTGTTGGCTGTCAACGGACCAGATTTGGAACGACCCGTGGCGACGGCCCAGGTATTTCTTGTGTTGCCATTGTTGCCAGTGGGAGCTTTGGAATGAAACCATGGACACTTCGTTTGACATCATAGTGTTCCCCACTGGAACTGGATCAGGAACTGGAACTCCCCCCTCCCCCCACCCACCAAAAAAAAATCGAGATTTCCTTTATCAGAGGAGCTGGAATCCCAACTAGATTACTGGAACTAGAACTGGATCTAGAGTTAATTTCAGCTTAGGAATTGAAGTGACAACTAGAATTGGACATAGAACTGGATCTAGAACTAGAACTGGAACTGATCTCCCCGCCCCGGGACAGCTGCAAGCTCTTTGACAATGGATCTGGAAGCGTTCCAACCACCTGGGGCACACTCTCTTCGACGACTGAAGACCTCTCCGCCACGTGTTTTGCAGGACAACTTCGCCTCTTTGAGCCAGTTGCCGTACTGCTGTGCTCAGAATTCCAGTTGTAAGACCAACTCCGATGGTTCCTGCTCGTTGCTCGGAGCACTTACGACCACCGGATGCAGCTTCTTCTTCGTTGTTGCACGAGGTGTGACTATCGGACCAGCTTCAAGGACTACAACTGTACCTGGCTCAGCGGCGCCTTGGCACGAAGCTTGAGGAAAACTGACAAGGGAGGAAGATGGGTACGCATGGTACTCCTCAGGTCCCGTAAATGTTCACATGAGACTTCTCCCAGGTTCTCAGGGTTTGCGTTTTGAAACGCCTTTAGCGTCGCCCTTTGCGTTGCCCTTTGTTGCCCTTTGCATGGCTTTGGTAGTAGCAGAAAACGAGCAGTTTGCCTCTGAGGTACAGATGCGTCAGTGATTCGAGAGAGCTCCATCGTTGTTGCCACCTTCATTCATGCGCCTCAGATTAAATTTTCCTTTGGTGGGTTGGGTTATGGATTAATATAATTGAGTGGGGGGTGCTCGACTGAGTTGTTGAGTAGAAAGTGTGATAAGACTCAATCAGGATTAATCAGGGAGCTTTCACCATCTTGGGATGGTATTTAGTATTTACTTCCCAGCTGCAACTCTCATGTGCACTAGACCGTCAACATCTGAAAGGTTGTCTGCGAGAGAGACGGCCTTGCCCTAGGAGTATGACCAGTCTTTGAACACAACGTGCTTCAATTCTTACCCCTCTGCAGCCAACAACTGCGATGATCTCTGGCTCATACAGGAGAAGGCAAGGCAGGCTTCGGAATTTTGATGTCAGACCGTCTGGTAGAGAGAACAGCTGGTACTTTGTCACTCTTGGCCGGGAGCAGATGAGACTTGAAGACATTTGGATCCTTCGATTTTGGCTTCAATCGTTGACGGTCTACGGCGTCCGTCCCGCCAGTACCTCACAGGCTTCGCTCTTCGCGGCAGATGTGGAGGCTTTCACTATGCTGATTGCGTCCTGGCGAGAACAAACGGGCCTTTCTTTCTTGCCTCTGGTCGGCGGCAGCCGGAGACTCCCCATTTCTGAGCTCCATCATTCACAAAGCAACACGCAGCCCCCGCAAAACAAAGATCATGAAGCCACGAGATGATCAGAATTCAGAAACTCTATATAGTGTGCCATCGTTCCAGCATTTCCATCAAACCAGGACACTGTCGCCATCGGTTTCTGGTGTTTCAAACTTTGGGGCATTCTGGGACAGTTTTCCACTCATGGCCTGTTAATGGGCTTGCTGTCCATGACCAGGACCCGCAAAAGGCACAGCATGCTCGTTTTTGTGAAGGGATTCTAAGGAGGCACAGTCAGACAAAGCGTTGAAAGCCAGTCACTGCACCCGAGCCGCCCTTGGCACCATCCAAGCGGAGCCTGTCACGTGCACATCGCGTGCGTCGCTCGACCTTTTGAGGACCATTCGGTGACTTCCCCAAAGTCCGGGCTTGCCACAACCTCCCGCCAAATGCAGGCACGCCGTGCATCGCTTCGCACGCGCTTCACACGGGTCAAACCAAGACGGTACGGCCGAGAAACTCCATGTCGTGCATAGTTCGTCAGGACCCGTCTCATGTGATTTCGGAGTCTAGCCTTTTCGTGTTTATTTGGATGGGGGTGGGGTGCATTTACAGTCACAAGTGCCAAGAACAAAATCATTGTTGCTTTCAATATGTGTTACCAAAGGGGTGACAGTCTTCAGGCAACCAAGCTGGCAAAGCCAGTCGAGGGACTTAAAATCTTGACAAGCGTGTCAATGAAACAGCATGGCCTCCGTTCCTGCGCCCGTCGCCATGCCGCAGGGGATGCTCTTTGTGGGAGACAATGGGAACGACGGTGATGTGTCTAAAGCCATCAAGGAGCTCAGTTACCTGAGATCCCTTATGGTTGCTGTTTGGAAAGCCTGGAATGAAGCAACAAGGGACGGTGGACGCTTGTTGTTCGCTTTTTGTTCCTCCTAGTGAGGCAAGTATATTTGAGTTGGGGCAGATTGTGCGACATCGCGCCCTTTTTTCTTCAGACTGCCATGAACATCCATGATGGAGTCTAGAAATACATGGACATGGACCTGGCACATTCGGCACTCAGTGACATCCCTCAACCTTGTCCAGGATGAGCTGTGCCGCAGCAATCCGAAAGCAGTCACGGCGCAGGAGGGCGGTAGCAGTACAGATCATGCGCCTGTGGAGCAGGAAAGCTTCTGACACCCCAAGACTTAGGTTTAGTGTTGTCGGTGATGATGATGATGATGACGACGACTACTGTAAGACTATGACTGTGACTGTGACTATGACGACGACGATGACGACGACGACGACGACGACGAGGATGATGATGATGATGATGATGATGATGATGATGATGATGATGATGCAGAATCATCATGACAACAGTTTGGTTGAGAATCTTGCTGCCAGGGCCTGTTTTCTTCCTGGACTGGCTAATGGTTTTCATTGGTGAATCCCTACTGTAAGGAACTCGCACGAAATGGTATCAGTTCGGAAGGGTGTTCACCCTCAGCCACACTGGTAGTTGTCACATGGATTGGATTGTATAAGAGGAGCCCCGGAGCCCCCACGATTTTGCACCAAAGTCTGGCCTGCCCTGCTTTTTGCATTGAACATATGATATGTGTATATATTATATATTTGTATATATACTGCGTATATATACACACGTATTATTATACACACACGCACACATATACACACTTTGACAACGAACCTCCTGTATAACTTTCTGTCCGGATACTGTAACCACCATTCAAAGCCAAAGTCTCAATGTGCCCAAAGTGGTGTTTGTAGTATTTTGTAGTGTTCTTGAGGGTGAACCGGATCATAGCTCATATATAACCTTATAGTTCGCGTGATGCCAACCGCTCTGGCACGGTTATTTGCAGGGCATCTAGCTTCTCCACAAAGCCTTTTGGGATCTTTTGGGGTCAGTAAGTGCTCGACACAAAGCTACGAAGTCACCAGCAATCATGCCCCATCATGGTCCATTGACGTGATGGATGAATCCAGAGGGAGTAGACTCAGACACCGCGGCTCGCCCTGATATGCCCTGATCCGCTCAACCCAGTCCCCCTGCTATGTGCCGCCGAACTCAGCGGATGGCTTGGATTACTTCAGCGTGGGCACCCTACTGCAGGCTTGGGCTCACGATGGCCGTCCGCATGGGAAGATGGACCAAATTTGCCAATAAATAGTTGGTGGGGAGAAACTTAAGGCCAGGCCGTTCTTTGTGCCTGTCGGTGTCGTATGCCCTCGGCGAATAAATTTGAATTTAACCTAGTACTAGCATGTGTCACGGCAGCTAGCTAACATCACCGTGCGACCGTGCAACACCCAAGGGAAAGTTCGATGCCGGAGCAACAGTTCCATGCTGAAGAGTCCTTGGACCAGTGTTAAGGTTAGGACTCAGGCAGGTATGTGTTGCTTGAGCTTCACTCTGCCAGAGGCCACTGGGGTGACCCTGGAAGGTGAAAGCTATCCAGGCACGACATCGGACGATCCACCGCGCGCTGGGCGGTCTTGGTGGATGGTTCCTGTTGGCTCCTGTCCAAGGCTCCAAGGTGTTCCTGGTGTTAGGCCTTCTGTGTGAGGACGAGATTCTGAGTGCTCCAAGGTGTTTCTGAGTGTTTTCTTCATCTCTCTTCTCAAGTCTTCTCACAGCCGGTCCAGGGAGCTTGGAACGTGGCACAAGGGTGGTATGGAAGCCATGGCTCTACATGATTTCATCATATTTTATTCAGGAATCTCTATGCTTGACACGTCGGAATAAAGCGATGTTGCAGAGGTTGCATCCCACACTGGGCCTTGGCAGTAGCGTATGGGAACATATCATATGAATCATTTGGAATGGGGGCCTCAAGATGGAACCAGGCACCCAGGTGAAAAAAAAAACTACGTATGAGATTAAATTAGCCGATTCCGACCTACAGCGCAGCAGCACGAGGTAGCGGCCATTCAGCCAGATACGAAGGGTTGACTGCATCCTGGCGGCACAAGATGGGGCATGTGCATGGCCGCCTTTGACAATCGCCTTTGGAATCAAGGTTCCCGGGTGTCCTCAAATCCGACCTTCGCATACCTTCCGCCAGATCAACCTGTTGATCGACTACAGCAACTCGCGAGATTGGCATGGGCTGCAGCCGAACATTAGCCACCAAATTGCATACAGTAGCACTTCTTCAGAGCCCGTCAACGGCTCATTTTTCCAAGTTCATGTAGTCTTTGAAGAGGGCGCAGTGGAGCTGCGACCCTCTGCTGCATCTGTTTTTGTCATTTGCTGCAGGTTATCTCTACAAGCCTTCAGTGGTGCCTCAGAACTCTGGGCTGCAACTTTGTGGATACTATGTGTATGTGTTGAACTATGAGGTATCGGATGAACCCACACACACAAAAACAAATATATGTGTATATCAAAGAACACGCATATTCAATCATATTCACGTCCAGCAGTTCGTTGGCTGAAACTGAGGAGCACCTTTAAGACCACCTTGCTGTCGCCTTCGTCCTTTGGCCTTCAGTTGGAGTCTTCACTACTTGAGGACATGTCCAATGAGTCAAATTTACTGTAGTTGTTTCATTTAAACGGGTGCTGAAGTTGACCCATCAAGAGGCGAACTGAGACACCGGGGTTAATGGAACCATCACTTTCATTTTCATCCTCTAGGAACCCCGTGAACCTGGCAGCACATGGATCACGTGGATGCGTTTGTTCTATTCAAGGGCACAACCCCAAGCAAAAGGCAGATGCAAGCCAGGGGCCAGGGGTTTTCAATTGAATCAACGCACGGTCGGGATTGTTTGATGGCCTCGTTCTCACGCGCCGTGTGAGAGGCAAGAGGCCCTCCCACGTCTCTACCCCATGCTTCTTCTGAATTGTTGAGCATTTTTGAGTCAATGTCTCTAATTTTCAGGTCGTTGAATGGGCAACAGATGTTGAAGAAGGATATCCACGGACACCCGGTGGCATGTTTGTACTGACAGAGGTCAGACATTGCACCGGTGCGGGCTTGGCTTCGGTTGTGCGAAGTTTTTCGTTGCGAAACTATATTTAGTTTCTTCCGAAGGCTAAGTCCTGAGCTTGCGAACAGGTTGTTTCTTACGCAGGGATTTTTTCTCGCTGAATCCTTGCCGATGATGCGCCCAGGTAAAGCAAAACTGGTTGGTGGTTCAAAATCATTTTCCTTCTTCAAAAGCTTTAAGACCTGGGATGACGAAATCCCAATGGCTGATGTTGTCCGTTCGGCTGATGTTGTCGCCAAACGGAATACGAACGTTCAGGGGTTCTCTTCGAAGTGCGGCCCTCTGGGCAGCTGGCGGTCTTCGACTTCACGCAACTCTTGCTGCAGCCACTGGGCGCTCAGACGTAGCAACAGCATGCAACAGCTGTCCAGTCTCCAGTGATTGCTTTGGTTGGGGAAGGTGTCATAGAAGTCAGATACAAACATGTGTGATCGGCTGGCTTGAGTTGAATGGTTACTACCATCCGTGGCAACTAATTCCAGGAGTTGGCGCCTTGGGACAGTCTTTGTGGATCTGAAGAGCAATGGAAGAGACCCGCCAACTGCTGCACCACTCTGCTAATTTAGAGGTAGTGTTCCCCTCCATTTGGAACTCATATGGGGTCGTTCCATGGGCACGCAATGCCGACAGCATCAGGCAGCCACGATTGAGACCAGCCGTATCCAACGTCTCGGGCCGAACAGCCACTCAGGCTGACGACCAGCTTGACCTTACTGGCACTGGCCACGGCCACATGGCACTAGTGGACAGAGTGGTTGCCTCGTTGTTCACCGGCCCAATCTTTGGAGGCCCTTGACGGCCTCCTTCAGCAATCAGATGGTGTGGAAAAGAACCGACCAACAAGAGGAATATATATAGTTATATAAATATATATACATACTGTCGGAGGGCCCCCTATTGAAAAGGGAATGTATTTAATTTACTTATCCCGGCCCCAGGTGGGTGTGAACATCCTGGCGCAGTACGTCCTCCGGTATCGCCCTCCTGGCAAGTTGGGAAGTACACCTGCAGCTCGCATGATGGACAACAAGGGGAAGGGGAAGGAAAAGAGATGGACAAAGACCTTGACACAGGGCTTCGCACAAACCAGAGGCTACAAGAGACGCTTGTCCCATTGCGTCACCTCCTGCCTAAGTTGCTCAGACATAAAGATAGAAAAGAGTGCACAAAGCCATTGACTGTCCATTCTGAATCAGCGCCAGGCCACTACTATTCTGAAGCCCTGTACGATAGAACGGCGGACTTCGACAACATTTCCTTCTTGGAGAGTCAGTCAGATAACCATTTGAGACAGGCGGGGCTTGAGAAAGATCTCCCAGATGATCTCCATGCATCTTTCAAACCTCCGCATGGATGTGCATGCCAAAGAAGCTAGCCGGCATTCCTGCCCCTTGCTTGCAGCGGGTTTGAATGCCTTGGGTTTCCCATAGTGTGGGCAAGTCTTCCGTATGGGTCTTGGACTTGACCCATGCTCAAATTCTTTGATGTTTCATTGCTAGCGCAATCGGTGTCCACAGTTGTGGCGTGCAACCAGTGCACCAAAGACACGCCTGAGCATTCTCCAAAGGGTCAGTGTACTGAGCGTCGCCAGCGTAATCAGTGTAGTGTACGATCATTCGCTCTGATATTTAGGGCCGATTGCCAGCTCAGGGCGGCCCAAATTACTGTATCTATACAAAGGGCTGAGCTCACCTTCTTAAGCTAAATCATGCAACATTTGTTTGGGAGTCTTGATTCCACTCGCAGGAGCTAGAGGATCGAAATCTTCCCACCAGCGGCACGCGGGAGCGCATGATCTTGCGCCACTCGGAAGGGGCATCGGGCGGGAAGGAGCAAGTCACATACTGTGGCACAATAGCAAGATGACCAACCGTCGTTTCCGCTCAAGGATCGTATGTCCACAGCTTTTTCAGTTTCGTCCATTCTGGATTTTCTGAGGCTGGGGGTTCAAACGAACTGGTGGGGTTTAGGTTGCCCAAGTCATTGTGGTCACCCTTCCTTCACCTCCCTCGCTTTGCTGGACTTGGACTTGGCTGCTTCCTTGGATTTGGTGCTTGTTGCTTCCTGGCCTGGCGCCTTGGCTTGTCATTTGTGGGGTCATCGATCCCTGACACCACCTCTGCTCCTAGGGCTTCTCCTGGAGCATCTCCTGGGCTACAGCGGATCCAGGCCTACTTGCATGAGTGAACAAACTGTTGATCTGCTTCAACTCCAAGTTCAGCAGTTACTCATCAGGGTCGAGATTTTGGAAAAGAAGGTTGTTGAGCTTGAGCGCGGACATCACGACGGCTTTGAACTCGTGTCCTCGCCCCCGCGTGCTTCAAGTCTGGCCAGAACATCTTCGAGTTCGTCGATCTACAATTCCCTGGCACTTGAGATTCCTGACGTGTCTCCTGAAGCTCTTCGCCTGTGTGGGAATCTTCGAGGAGGTAAGCTCAGCTTCAAGCAGAGAGCGGAGCGGGCTTCGGCTGCAGGGTATTGGGCCAGGTTTTGTCTTCAGGGTCGAGTCAGCAAACCTCGTCCTACCACCCCGTGCGATCTGGCAAATACCACCTACGTGGTCTTGCGTGCAGCAGGCATCAGCTCTCCAGTCCGGGTTGAGAAGGCCTCGGACTACCGTGCCCTTTTGGGTGATTTCTCAGGATCTTCGAGCACCAGCATCTCTCACGGCTTTGCATCGAAGGCTGAGGCCAAAGTGTACTGTCTTGGTGCCGACGTGGCCTATCCTGAGCAGGTGTATCAATGGAGCTAGACGCCATAGTGCCGATAGTAGACGAGAATGTGGAGCTCTTCAGAATCTTCTGGCCACCGGACCCTCACATGGTCCAAGCTCGTCCAGGGATCTGTTTGATTGTGATGGTCAGGCGTGCTGCAGGAGGCCGAGTGTTAGTTGCAATGCCAACAGCTTTGGTCCCAGCAGGCAGCCTTCCTTTGGAGCCCGAGGAGTCAGATGTGATTGGGCCCCATGCTCAGTTCGAGTTGCCAGCAGTCAGAATGTCAGATGGAGGAATAGAACACTTGGGCACCGATGTCACGGTCCAGGTAGTGGATCTTGGAGCCGATGCTCTCAGTGCGCTGACTCCCCTTTCGTTAGTCCCGGAATCAGAGGATCAGGGGCTCATCGGTTTTGGAGAGGATCTGGACATCATACCAGAGCCTACATTGCTGGAAGAGAGTGTCAAGAATTGGCTCGTCACTCATGGGCCACTCATGGGGGTCAGAGGGTCGCCTTTTACTCTGCGGACGAAGAGGCGGACTTCCCCGCGGCAGTGGCAGCTCCGCTGCCCCCAAGAAGAGATCAGGCGGCGGGCATCACTCCACCAGAGCAGTCGCCCGGCAAGCAGAAGACGAAGGACCCGCCCAAGAAGAGGGTCACTACAGCTGCGCTGTCAGACCAGCTATCCAGCCTCATGGAACTGATTCCCTCCATGGTCGAGCAGATCTCAGATCTTCAGAAGAGTCAGGTGGCTTTGCAGGAGACAGTGGAGCAGAACCAGAGGGCTCCTCCTCTCCGGGCCAGCCAAGCACCTGTGGCCGAGACCGTGAAAGGTGTGGCTTCTTTCGCCAAGATGATGGGCTCACCTCCGCGAACCAAGTCACTGGTTCATGTGCCGGTGACTCCGGCGATGCCTATGCCAAATTCTGGTCTCGATGGATGTGTCCCTCCTCAGACCTTTGCAGAGGAGCACAGCCCTACGGTCCATGCCAGTCCCTTCACGCAGGCTATGCTGGAGCAGAGCAAGGCGTTGATGACTCTGGTCGCTCACATGCAACAGGGTGGAGATCCACTGTTAGATGGACAGGGATCCTCATCGAGCGGGTCATTAGGAACCAGAGGCTCGGTTGGACGCGAAAAGCTGCAAAGAGAGTTGGCGATGAAGTCAGGCAGTTTTATCTTGCTGTGTTGCAAAATGCTGTAAAGAGGCTGAACCTGCCAGCCCGAAGCCGGGCTCAGTGGAGGAGATCGCGGCCACCGACTTTTCGATGATTCAGTACCTCGAACGACTCGGTTGCCCTCAACATCTTCTTGGGCACATGCAGCACTTTCAGTCGTGTCCATTCACCCTCAGGAACACTATGCCACATCTCAGGCGCACAAGTACCAACACTGCCTTTGTTGATGGCAGTCCAGCCTGCTCTGTGGGCAATGTTGATCTGGTGTCTCCCCAAAGGTCGACGCCCATGAAACTGGAAGAGGTGGTAACAGTGGTGGTCAGTTTTTCTGCTGTCGGGAGGGCCAGTCGACGTACCGAATTCACCACTACGACAAAGAAGGAAATGGCTTCCTGGCAAATGTCCTGCAACGCCAAAAGTGGGAAGTGGTGTTGGTGTCAGTCTACCTCCGTACTGGCGAAGACCTCAATTCGGTGACCAATGCCATCATTTTGGGTGAATTGGCGGCTTTTCTGGGTGAACTTGCCGTACCATGGATGCTGGTTGGAGATTTTCAAGTCCCTCCTGAGCAGTGGGCTGGGCATCAACTGCTGAATGTGCTCAAAGCAGAGGTTGTCAAAAGTGGGCAGCCGACTATGATCAACGGGGCAGAACTTGACTACTTGATTGCCAGTAGAACCCTGACACCGTTCATCGACATCAAGGTCAATTGGGACGTTCCGTGGAAGCCGCACGCAGGCCTCGTTGTGACAATAGACAGTACAGCACCCAGTTTGCACCTGCCACAAGTCACTCAATATGCTGCCATCCCAAAACTGCAAAGCAGCCCAAAGCAGTGGGAGGAATGTCAGCCGTCTCCGAAACCCTATTGGCTGGGTAGACAAATTGGGCCAAAAGAAATCCAGTGTGCAGAATGGTGTCATCGTGCTGAGCAGTACACCCTGCAGAATCTGACGGACCCAAAGATGGGAAGAGGGTGGTACCTTGCCATTGAGCTCAAGCCGCTGCCGCCAACCAGACCTTTGACACCCTGGAGAAGAGGAGACTTGGCCTACTGGGGCCAATTTAGCTCCTTGCTCTCCCACAGTGAAAGCAAAGGAAAGGTCAGCACGGCGGCTATGATGCATCTGAAAGCGAAAGCTGCGGACCTGCCAATGAGGTGGCAAAACATCCATGGAGATGTTGAGTTTTGTGCAGCTCTGGAAGCCTTGGTGTCAGGGGAGTCCATGCCCTTGACGGTGCTGGTTCGGGGAGCAGAAGCCAACTATGACTTTGCAAAGAAGGCAGTGCTGCAGCAGCAATCGCATGAGTATCAGGCATGGCTCTCTCAAGCCTCTCTGAGAGGGCAGAGTGGCATCTATAAGTGCCTCAAGGCTCCCGACGTGGTCCATGTGAGACCTTTCAGGAATGTGCCCGCCCAGGACAGACAGCAGCTGAGAGAACAACAGTGGTATGGCAGATGGAAGGTCATTGAGCAGCCCAGAACAAGTGCAGAGCGGGAGCGGTTGAGATGGGAAGGCATTGTGCAGGCCCGGACTTGGGAGGACCTTGACCTCATCAGGTGATGAAGCAACTGGCCAAGCTCCCACAGAAAGCAAGTGGCCCTGATGGCATCAGCTACGCCATGCTCAAGAACCTTCCACTTGAAGGGGTCACTGACTTGTGCAATATGTACAGACAGTGGGAACTTTCTGGACGACTGCCTGACCAAGTATGCGCAACATTGGTGGTACTGCTGCCAAAGAAAGAGGACATAGAGCGGCCCATTAGCTTGACCAGTGTTCTCTACCTCACTTGGTGCAAGCTCAGATGGCAAAAGCTCCGTGACTGGCAGGGTGATGCTGGGCCGAGAATGCCATGGGAGAGGAGCATGCCGGGTGTGCAGGTCCTGCACGTAGCCCTCATGCGCCTGCTCAAGTGTGAGGTTGGCAAAGCCATTGGCCGCAGTGTTGTGTCCTTGCTGGTGGACCTCCAGTGCTTTTGCGACTCTGCGACCTTGGAGTTACTGCTTGGGCTTTGGGAACCGTTGGATTTCCCGCCGGCTGTACTGAATGCTGTCTACGAAGTGTATTCGGGCCCACGGCAGGTTACGTCACGACCAGTACACTGTGAGCGAGGAATCCTGGCCGGATGCCCTGTGGCTCCCCTCATTGCCAAACTGGTCTTGGCTCCGGTCATTGAGCGCTTCAGTGCTGCTTTCAACGGTTGATGTGTGGGTCGACGACATATCAGTAGACTTCGTTGGGACAGATGTTCAGCTGCTGAGCCGGGAAGCCTTGAATGGCTATGAACATATGCGGCAGGAGCTGGAAGGCATTGGCTTGCAACTGTCAAAAGAGAAGACTGGCTTCCTCACTTCGTCCAATGAGTGCAAGAAGACTCTGAACCTCCTACGGAGGGATGATCAGCCGAAAGTCCACGACCTCCTTAAGGATCTTGGCTTGGACTCAAGCGGAGGTTGTCGTCGTCGGATTGGGACAC